GTTTGGTTCCCCCCCCCCCCCCTCCCCCTCCACCAAACACACACACTCTCTCTCTCTCTACCATCTTCCATTCACTTGCCTTTATTTTGACCTTATAGTTACTCGACACCAACACTGACGTCATTGTCATGGCAACTTAGTCCCTCCCACCACCGCGCTGATTGGATTCGAGAAATAAAATAAAACAAACACAAACTTTTACATTTGTTTGCAAAGACGTGTTGTTAATAAATATTGGGTCATATCGTAAACAAATATTTAAAAATTAAATTGGCATGAATAAAACGTAAAAAGAAGGGACATTTTACTCAAAATCTAAACAGGAAGTTCTGCCAGTGAACACACAAAGATGGAAAGGAGTTTGCTCGTCCTCCCCCCGTGCCTGCGTGGCTTTTCTCCGGGTACTCCCGTTTCCTCCCGCGTCCCAAAGGCAGGCAGTTGTCCTTAGATATGATTGGGCGTTTCAAACTTTATTGCCGAGGACGAACATTCCAGCACATCAAGATCAAAACACCTTTTGTGCAACGCAAGACTTGATTTCATTCAATGTGAATTGAGAGGATTTGATGACCTCGTCAGTTCTCCCTTCAACTTTTCGACCCGTCGGCGTGCTTTTGGGCCGCGAAGCCCGGGTCCGCTTCCGGTTCCCGGGTGACGAGCGAGGAGGAGGATCCGGATGTGGCGGCCGCGCAGAAGAGGCGAAGGAGGTCATGGAAGCGAAGGCTCACCTGGAAAAGAAGCGGAGGTATGTCGTGACCCCGGCCCGCCCCGCCCCGCGCGGCCTCGTAGCCTCTCACCTGCCGGGCGCTCTTGGTTCCCAACTGGGCGGCGATTCGTCTGAATGTCCTCCGATGAGCTCCTCGCTGCTGACAGGCCGTCAGGATGAGACGGTCGGCTTCTCTGAGACGAGACGCGGACGTGAAGAAATGGAAAGCGCGCCGGGATGCGTCGGGGGGGCGGAGCGGGGCGCTCACCGTGTCCACACCACCGTTTTTTCTCCATTTACGCCCGTCGAGACGTTTTGAGCGGAAACGGCCGGCGTCGGCGGCGCTTTCTTTTGGGCACGCGCGTCACTTCCTGTTTTTCCGGGCTCACCCGCCCCCGGAGGGCACGCCCGGGATTCCCGTTGTAGGCGGAGCTCACCTTCCTGAGAGAAGCGCGCCGCATGAAAACCACGCCAGCTTGGGCTTTAGCCGTTCCTGAAAGTTTTTGGTCTGAAGCAGCCAAAGCCATCGTGGCCTCACCCCGTGTTTTTGTACCTCGGGCAGACGACGGGACGTTCCGACATCTTCCGTCGTCCCGGCCGCGTTCGCTCCGGAGCTCCTCGACGTTTCCGCCAAACCGCCCGCCGCCGACGGGGCGGGGCAGCCAGGAGAGGCTGAGGAAGGGGGCGGGGGGACGCGCTCGGCCCGCCGGACAAAGCCCACGCGGCGCAAGTGCAGGTCGGACGGGAGGCGGGGCGGGTAGCGCGCGCAGGCTGAAAAGGACCAAGAAGAAAAAACCTTTCTGTGAAACTAGGTTGGGGTGGGGGGAAGGAATTTATGAAGAAACGTTGACAAAAAGTGGACTTGAATTCAAAGGTACTTCACGTTCATATCACATGAGAAATAGAAAAATCCTCAAGGGTGAAATGCGAGTGAGTGCTTCAGCATACCGCTAGAGGGAGCCACATCCCATGCCTGGCTTGTTACACTAATGCCAGTTAGGTTAGGAGCAGTAGTGTGTGTGTGTGTGTGTGTGTGTGTGTGTGTGTGTGTGTGTGCGCGTATATAAAAAAGATCTTTAAAAACAAAAAGTCCTTAAAGTTACCACTAGAGGGAGCCACATCCCATGCCTGGCTTGTTGCGGTTAGTTAGGAGCAGTTTTTAAATGTATATATATGTATATACACCCACACATATGTGGGTTAGATTTGCAAGAACCACAACAAAAATAGGCATTCCTTTGATTTTAAAATTGTGTTTCCCCCCCCCACCAGCTGAGTATTTTTGGGTTTGGTGCTGACAGAGATGGAAACTGGAGCCATTACTTCGAGATCCTGAGGAACAAAAAACTGAGAACCGGACCCCACCCTGGCGCGCAGGAGTACGACGTCATTCGGGAGTTGAATCAGAAGCAGATCGTTCGTTTTTTTCAAGGACTGTAACGTGCGCTGGAATCTTACTCAATTGGATTCTGCGATCGGGGTTCAATTTTTGATTGTTCAGCAAGGCAAGTGCTTCTTTAGAAATCATTCGAAATACGAAGCAAAGGCGATTTATATATTTACTGCAGGAGATATTTTTCCATTGAAAAGATTGAATACATGTTATTTGTACGTTTTATTTTTGTCTGCCTTTAATCGCAATAGCAGTTTTCTTGTGGGGATTTATACTTCCAAACAAGCGTGTCCTTTGATAGCGCAAATTTAGGAAGTACATTTTATTCACGTGTCATTTAACTGTAGCCGGGACTACCAAAGCGGTTGGTTAAAAGAGAGCGCCGATCACAAACACCCCGCCAATACGAGTGAACCGTGTCTTTCTGGAATGCCCGCCGAGGCGAATGTTTGTGAAGCGCTTTTGAAAAAAAATGTGCGCGGAGGAGGCGGCTCCCGCCTCAAATGGAAACGTCGTCAAATTCACAGTTTACGCACACGGAGACAATCCGAGCGGTCAGGTGTCTTTGCCAGGAAAAAAAAAAATTAAACAGGCATGCGGATTCGGTCCAACACACGCGTCTTTTCCTAAGCCTCTCCATCACTCCAGACTACGAAGACCAGGGGTCCTCGCGGGCCTGTTTCGCAGCTCTCTCCCTCCCAAGAGCAACGCACCTGATTCAACTCATCGGGAACGTTCGAATGCCGCTTCGGAGCCGCCGCTCATCTGAATCAGGTGCGTCGCAGCCGGGAGGGCTCGAAAAGAGGCGGGACGGCGGCCCTCCGGGCCCGGAGCTGGACGCGCCCGGCTCAGACGGTCGCACGCGCATCGAAAGGAGGACAATGTGGAAAGGGAGCGTAAAAGGCAGGCGGCTCTTGACGACGCGCCTCGTTTGACCGCGAGCCTTCATAAGAAGCGTAGCGCCGCCACCTAGCGCTCGTCGTTGGCAAGCGCAACTTACGACGACCGCCGTTCTCTCGCGGGGAGCCGAACGGCAAAATTCACCGCAGGCGTTCGATCCTTGAATCGACTCACGAAATGTCCTGCTTCTATCAGACCTCGCGTTGAAACGGTCGTCCTCATACCGTTCACATTTTGACATCAGGAGATCAACGCGACGCCCAACCGTGCGTCAACGGGACCTTCCGACAGGACGTCCTCAGACGGAATTGGCCGCTGAGCTTCGAGGCCATCGAGTTTAGAGCGTCACGCGGCGGGTTGCGACGGAGATGCCGAGAGACCGGACGAGTCGCAGAAAGATGTCGGCGCGGACGTCCTTTGGCCACATCCCGCGCTGATGACCGAACGACGCCCCGAGAAAGCGGACGATGGACGACCGGACCGGAGACCGGTGGGCCTCGGAGCTGTTCTCTGACCAAAGTTGATTCGCGGTGAGCAGAAACGATGGCCGCCAACGCCATGTTTTGCGAGGAGTGGATTCTTCAAGTTTGCCGGTAAGTCTTAGTTTTTCGACATAAAAGAAAATCAATGAACACTTAAATATGATGGAAAAGACCATTTATTTAATCCCCCGTCGAGACGACGATGACATTCACAGCGGTGTGTTACTTGCTCTCGGTGCTTCTTGCGGTCTGGGTTCCAAGCCAGCGCACGTAAACAACCTTCTCTCAGCCGCTTTTGCAGTGGACTCGAGCTGAGTGTAGGATGTTTACATGAATTGAGCCCGGATTTGACGGGCATAGTCGTCTTCGTTCGTGGAGGAGGAGGCTGGAAGTAGCTGGAGACGGCAAACATCGGACTGAAAGCTCAGTTGGAAAGACAGCTTCCAGTCGGGGATGTTTACAGCCCCTCCACTACCTGGTGCACCTTAAATTGCCAAGAAAAAAAAAAAAAAGAGTCCGACTATTACAAGAGAAATATTCTGAACTTGATAAGTAAAGCCATAATGTTACAAGAATAAATAATTTACAAGTTGTCATGCAAAAAAAAAAGTTACA